TCATTCACCAAAAAACGAATTCCGATTAAATCATTTAAATTGGTCACAACCAATTTTTGATGCAAAATTTCAACACTGCCATGTAAGTATATTTGTAACAGTGATAATTTACAAGTGTCTCACACTATTTTAGTTACGTTCTGTTTAATTATATTAAAATGTGCCCAATTTTTTTGTGATTTGTTGTATACTACTCTATCGTTATTATACTCCTAACTACTTTGATAATATGAAAAAGAGTCATACTATTTATATAACTTTTATTTTAACTTCACGCTTGGAAAATATTACATCCATCAAATTTAAAAACTGTTTTTTAAATGAACGACACGAATCTTGAGAACTCATTAGTTGTTAAACTAGTTGGATCATGTTTGTTCTACATTTTTTTCCCATTTGTACAAGAATTGTGACCGTTGCATAGATTTCTAGCTGACATTTTTGACCAAAATGTTAAATGTGTGATAATCGGGCCCAGTAGTTTGAAAAAAAGGGTCACAAAATTTCTACTAGTTGGAAGAAAATGTAGGACAAACAGGGGTAAATTAATCCCATGAGAAATCAGTAATTGGATCACAAATGCATCTTAGCACGTGCAAGAACCAATTCAACCTCCTAGACCTAGGTCAGAATATGGGATATAGCTTATAAAAGCGGGTTGTCTTAATATTGTGCTTCGAATATCAGACAAATGTTTGTATTTAGATCTCAAATATATTTGAAAATAAAATGTTATTTGAAAAATGTTTATAAATAAATGAATAGTAATTATAGATCACTCAAAACATAATGGGAGTTGAGCTCATATTGCTTAAGATCCTAAACCCCACCAACCATCCATTATGAAAAAAATAAAAAATCCAGCCAACACAAATCGTATTTGTGACATATATGATGTCATTGCCTTGATGATATATTTATAATTTTTGGAACTTTAGTTACCCCTCCAACAATGAACTTATATTTAATTTCAATTAAGAAAATAGTTGAGATTCCTTAATTTGCCCGATATGGACATTTTAAATGTCACATTTTATATGTAAATATACCAATCTAGACTAACAAAATAAAAATAAAGTAATACTGTTTATCATTATGTGTAGATGAATTGACTAATATGATTCTTAGGTCTCGTATTTAATTGAACTTATTTAATGCCATTGTATTGTTATATAGTCTTTATATAAATACAGATCCATAAACATTGCACGATTAAATGACTCTCCTCTTTTTTTTTTTTTTATGACCAAATTTAAAACCAAATCGTAAATAATATTAAAAATAAATAAGTAAATAAAATTATAAAAGAAAAGTATCTCACTCTGCCTCGTCTGACGCTACTTCCTTAAAATTGTACCGCCTAGGACAATGGCGAGGGTGCGGTCCGGACCCTCGCCCTCATCCTAAATTTGACTCTACTCACCCTACTTCTTTAGATCTATCTGGTGTGGATTAAAATTAGATTTTTTGTAGATTTTGATAAAAATTGATGAAATGTACGATTAAAAGATTGTGGATCCCCTAAAATGTGTGATTAAGATTAATTATTGATTTTGATTTAAATGAATAACATTGAAATTAAATAAGTGTACATGAATTTAAATAATTTATCTACTCCTATATTAATTGAATAGCTCCCAAATTATGTGATATTTAATAATTTATATACTTATAGAATACTTTTTGATAAAATGAATAATCTTGAAAATAAATATGTGTTCACGAACTTGAATAATTTATTTACTTC